TTTTTTTTTTTTTTTTTTTTTTTTTTTTTTTTTTTTTTTTTTGCATTACAAGGATCAACCCTAAGGCCTGGCAATCCTTGAGCTTCCACTGCTCCGTGGTCATAGTATCCGGGTTCACTTCCATCAGGGATTCGTGAAAATCTTTCTGGTACAAATAATCTTCAATCTGCATATTCTAGAAACTAAAATTGGATTCATCAAACTTTTCAATTCCAATCTTTGAAATGAATTTCGCCTCGCTCTGATACCAATTGTTAGGATCGCTCAACAACGAACACACTCGTTATCAAGATGAACACAAAGAACAAGAGAGAGAAGATTCAAGAAGGAATAAGGCTAAAAGTTTTATTGAAGACTTCACGTATGTACAACAACAGAAAATATAGAGAATGAAGAGACTGTGTAATAGGTATATACAGGGTTTCAATTTACTAAATATAGGTTTCAAAGATTTAAGAGATATAACCTATTAAATATTATGTCTATGAAATCTTTACCAAATATCTATCATATATATCTCTATCAAATCTTTACCAAATATCTACCAAGTATATCTCTACTAGATCTTTACTATAAATAGGCATCAAACTCCATATCCCAACAATGGACCCGTGTCCTATGGGTAGACATTTTCGTGTGGATAGTTAGTGGACCTGACATGTACATGGGGTAGCCCCTCCGACATTGGATGACGAGTAGGCTAGCACTCATCATGTTGTCTCCATTTGTTAGAGTTATTTGAGGTAGCACCTCAACACCGGTTACCACTGCGTAGGCTAAGCTACCTATCCAAAATTGTGCACAACAAGAACGATACACCTAAATTCTAGAGTAAGCTTGTGCTCTCTTGCTAGGTAAAGGATGCGATGATAGCTTACAAGTAGGTTGCTTATTGATTATACTTATATACTCAACCCTTTTTATCTTTTCTTTTTTAGGTGCATGATGTTGTTGGTCGAGGCGAGAGGGTGCTCGAAAAATCAGTAGCCACAGAAAGGGTGTTAATCTAGGCATCTGTGTTGTCATCATAATTTTTTGTAGTCTGACGTATCATACACGTCTTTTGTATTCCGATCTCATTCCCTCTTTTAAGAAAAAATTGAACACATGAACATGTATATGTTTTTACATTGGACAGGGATATGTTGTTAAATGTTTTTTAATGGCCTAAAATTTTATGGAAGTTTTCTATTGCTTGTATACACTTATGTCGCATTGCATAGTCTATTAGTCACACTCTGTCTTTGGACGCCTCGAAATTTAGGTTGGACAACTAATCACTTCTATCATAATTAACTTATATATCATAAGTATTCGAAGTACCACTTCGTCATGATTCTAACTTATAATGGTTGAGAATAAACTTAAATTAAAAAAAAAAAAGCATTTTCCATTTTTAGTTAATGTGGGTTTTAAAACTCATTAAAAAAGGCCAAACATTTGTTTGAGGGACTAGTGGTTTTATGAGTTAGAAAATGTGAGATTCTCATGGCCATTGTTCGCTTTAGAAAAATTATAAATAGGTTTGGTTTATCATTATAATCGGAGAGAGAGTAGGGAGCAAAGAGCAGAGTGAAAAGAGCAAGAGTTACAAAGTTAACGTATAGTGTAATAGAAAAGGGTTTTGAGAATTTTTTTGTCTCCTTGTCTCTCCCCTCTCGATACCTCCTTCACAGCTTCGTGAGAGTTATTTTATCAAGTTAGTTTCAGAGCGAGCGTTTATTTTTTACAAATTGGTATCAGAGCGGCTTTTAATTTCAACAAATTGGTATCAGAGCCGATGGCGAACATGATGGGACAAATGCCGCTACCACGATTGACGAAGACGAACTACGAGAATTGAAGCATCCAAATGAAAGCTCTTCTCGGTTCGCAAGACGCATGGGAGGTGGTCGAAGAAGGTTTCGAAGAACCGAAGGATACCACGGGTTATACGATGGTGCAAAACAAGGCGCTAAAGGAAGCATGATCAAAAGATAAGGCAACATTATATATGTTGTTCTTAGCTATTGACGAGTTGGGCTTTGAAAAAATTGCAAGGGCAACTACTTCAAAAGAAGCATGGGACACCCTAGAAAAGGTGTTCAAAGGAACCGACTGAGTCAAGCAGATGCATCTCCAGACTCTGCGTGGCGAAATTGGAGAGCATGAAGATGAAGGAGTCAGAAAATGTATCTAACTGCATTACACGTGTACAGACCGTGGCGAATCAACTAAATCAAAACGGAGAAATGTTACCCGGAATGTGGGTTGTGGAGAAAATCTTGAGGTTGTTAACAGACAACTTCGAGAATGTTGTATATGCCAAGGAAGAATCGAAGGACCTAGCAAAGTTCGATGAGCTCGTCGGTTCTCTCGAGGCACACGAGCAACGTAAGAGAAAGAAGGAGGAGCTACTCGATCAAGCGCTCCAGACGAAGGCATTAATAAATGATGAAAAAGTACTCTACACTCAAAATGTTCAAGGTAGAGGTCGTGGAAACTGTGGGAATGGTCGAGGTGGTTAAGACAACAGTTACGAAAAAATCTATAATGAGAAGAGACTATCGAGTAAGAAAATTGGTGTGGGAGAGGGACGTAGTCGAGGAAGAGGCGGCCAATCAAACATTCAGTGGTATAAATGTCAGAAATATGATCACTATGCAAATAACTGTAACTCCGACAAATGTTAAAATTGTGGTAAAATGGGGCACGTTGCAAAAGCATGTCGAGCCGGAAAAAAAGGTGGAAGGAACAACCAACCTAGCCGTGGAAGATGTAACAGATGAAGGTCTTATTTTGATGGCTCAAGATGAAGAGAACTTCAACAGCAACACTCTGTGGTACCTCGACTCAGGGGCAAGCAACCATATGTGCGGTCACGAGCACCTATTCAAAGAAATGCAAAAAATTGAAGATGGTCATGTGTCATTTGGAGATGAGTCAAAGGTGGAGTTCAAAAGCCGAGATACGATACACTTTTTGCAAAAGGATGGTGTGATGGGGTCAATCCAAAATGTTTATTACATACCAGACCTCAAGACCAACATATTGAGTATGGGGCAACTCACAGAGAGGTTACTCGATATTCCTAAAGGACCGCCTGCTACACCTGAAGAATAAGAAATGGCGTTTGGTTGCTCGAGTCGAGATAGGAAGAAATCGGATGTATAAATTGAACTTAAGAAGCATACGAGAAAAGTGTTTGCGAGTCGACGTAGAAGACAAGGCATCACTGTGGCATCTCCGCTTTGGTCACCTACATCATGGCGGCCTAAAGGAGTTAGCAAAGAAGAATATGGTACATGGGCTACCAAACATGGACTTTGAAGGAAAATTTTGTGAAGAATGCATGCTCAGCAAGCATGCGAGAACCTTAATTCAAAAGAAGGCTGAATTTTGGGCTAAACAACCTCTCGAGCTGATCCATACAGATATATGTGGACCAATTAACCCCGAGTTCTTCAGTGGAAAGAGGTATTTCATCTCCTTTATTGATGATCACTCACAGAAAACCTGAGATTACTTTCTGGAAGGAAAATCCGAGGTATTCAAGGTGTTCAAAAAGTTCAAAGTAATGGTGGAGAAGGAAACTGGTAGACACATCAAAGCTGTACGATCCGATAGAGGTGGCGAGTATACTTCGACGACTTTCATGGAGTACTGCGAGAAGCAAGGCATAAGGAGATTTCTAACCGCACCGGACACCCCTCAACAAAATGGTGTGGCCGAGAGAAAGAACCGGACCATTCTCGACATGGTTTGCTCAATGTTTAAGAGCAAAAGGATGTCGAATGAATTTTGGGCAGAAGCTGTGCAATGTGCCATCTACGTATAGAATCAATATCCACACGCGAAGTTAGATGATCAAACACCACAAGAGGCTTGGAGCGGACAAAAGTCTACAATTTCTCATCTCAAGGTGTTCGGTAGTGTGGCTTATGCCCACGTACTGGACCAACAAAGAACGAAGCTCGAAGACAAAAGCAAAAGGTATATCTTTATTGGATATGATTAGAAGACAAAAGAATACATACTACTTGACTCGATTAGCAAGATGGTGACAGTGAGTCGCGACGTGCGAGTAAATGAAGAAAGTGAATAGGACTGGAACAATTCGACGGAAGTCAATATCGAAGTTGGAGAAACATCAGTTGCTGCACCAACAAGTGCACCAACAGACTTAGAAATCTCTGATGATGAAGATCAACCACGACAACCCAAGATGCGAAGTTTGCAAGATTTGTATGACTCAACAAATGAGGTACACCTTGTATGTCTTCTGACAGATGCTGAAAATATCAGCTTTGAAGAAGTAATGCAAGACACGAAGTGGCAAACTGCCATGGATAAGGAGATTAAAGCGATTCATCACAACAACACATGGGAAGTGTCAGAATTACTGGAAGGAAGTCAGCCCATAAGTGTGAAGTGGGTATTCAAGAAAAAGATGAATGATCAAGGCGAGATTGAACGGTACAAGGTGCGACTTATTGCGAAGGGATACAAGCAAAAGGCGGTTATCGACTATGCGAAGTGTTTGCTCCCGTCGATAGAATAGAGACAATCCAATTGATCATTTCCCAAGCAGCCCAATTCAAATGGCCAATTTTTCAAATGGATGTCAAGCTAGCATTCTTGAATGGTGTGCTTGAAGAAGAAGTATACCTCGAACAACCTCCCGGTTACGTGAAAATTGGAGAAGAGAAGAAGGTACTAAAATTGAAGAAGGCGCTTTACGGGTTGAAACAAGCACCGCGAGCATGGAATAATCGTATCTACACATACTTCAGGGAGAACGGGTACAAGCAATGTCCCCACGAACATTCACTTTATACAAAGAAGAGTGGAGGTAATGTGATACTTGTCGCTCTTTATGTCGATGATCTCATTTTCTCAGGAAACAATGATGAAATGATAGAAGAGTTCAAAAGCACAATGACGCGAGAATTTGAGATGACAGACTTGGGCTTGTTGAAATTTTTCCTTGGTTTGGAGGTTAAACAAGGAGAAAGATATAGAGATGCTGACTCAACAGAGAAACTCACTTGACGTGAACTTGAATCAAGTCCAATCGAAGGCAGTGAATTTACGACACACGATTGAGACACTCACTCGTGATAAAGCCGAATTGGAGGAAGCAAAAATGCTAGCTGTAAATGTCGCTGTGGACTTGTGAAGGGAATTGAGTAAACTGAACGAAGCCATGATGTCTGTGGTTTTGAGAATTTCTGTCTCTTTGTCTCTCCCCTCTCGACACCTTCTTCACAGGTTCGTGAGAGTTATTTTATCAAGTTAGTTTCAGAGCGAGCATTTATTTTCTACAAATTGATATCAAAGCGGCTTTTAGACACTGTCAATCGAGATGGATCATCTAGCAGAGTATAGTTAACATGTTCTTAATAGGTTTCATTATATCATCGTCGAGGAGGTAGCGACTCTCTTACTTGCCAATCCTCATCTACCTACCTAATGTGGTCTCATGCCCTCGTCCAATCAAGATCAAGATTAAGAAACAGTTGGAGATTCCTTAAGTTCCAAAAAAAAAAAACAAAACAAAACAAAAAAACACCTAAACTGAAACGAGATTTGGCGGCTAAAGGATTAAAGTGAAAAGAAGGAAACCTGTGGAGTACATGCATTGTTGTGTGTATCACAATACTTTGTGTACACGAAACAGGAAAAGGGAAGGAGAAAATAACGTAGCTTTACGGTTGAATGCCATGAGCTCTTCATTGTCGTGTTTTTGGTGGCTGCATAGCCAACGCTGCTTGTGTAAGCTCTAAGCCACTTTGATTATGGATATACACAAATACTCTCTTTCATGTTCTTATTTAAAAATTCACTTGTTTAGTTTGGCAACTCCTTTTCATGTTGTTTACGCTACAAGCTATGTTTACCTCATAATAAATCAAACCAGACCCCTTTCAAATCCCCTAAACCTAAGCGACGGCACACCTTATCTCTTGACCAATTCCATATTTTATGCATTCTTTTCTTTGATGATCCTATAAATACCATCACTAACCTCTCCACTCCACACCATCATTTCATCCTATTTTCTTCCTCTTTTCTCCCAAATACCAAACCATATTCATAAACACACACCCAAAATGACAATTCTTAGAGGCTTTCTTCTTCTTTTCTTTCCTTTTGTGTTCCTCTATTCTTCCTCTGCAATTGCCTTCTCAAATAACGTTGTCGATTTAGGAGCCAAGCCCGATGGCAAATCTGACTCTACGAAAGCATTTGAAACCGCATGGGCTAATGCATGTGGCTCCACGAGACCAACCTCTATTTATGTTCCACCGGGAAGATATTACCTTCGTAGTCTAACATTCAATGGGCCGTGCAAGAATAATGCAATTTTCATACGCATTGATGGCACTTTGGTGGCTCCATCAGACTATAGGGTTATTGGCAATTCTGCAGCTTGGATCTTGTTCGGACGAGTTGATGGAGTAACTATCTCAGGTGGAGTTTTTGATGGTAAAGGAAGTGGGTTATGGGCATGCAAGAACTCGACCAGGACTTGTCCTAGTGGGGCCACGGTATGAAATTTAACTTCATTAATCCACTCCCTCCTCCACTTCATAAACAACTAGCCCTTTCATTTATTCAATTCATCACGTTTATGAGTCTATCATATAATTATGCCATTTGAGATAACATTTTTTTTTTTAATGTCTTCATTTGTGCAGACAATTGAAATCTCGAACTCAAAGAATGTAGTGCTTAGTGCATTAACCTCACTCAATAGTCAAATGTTTCACATAGTGGTAAATGGTTGCCAAAATATCAAAATGAAAGGACTTGTGGTCTTGGCTTCGGGCAACAGTCCCAATACTGATGGCATTCACGTACAACTATCATCTGATGTGACCATACTCAACTCCAAAATAGGCACAGGAGACGACTGCATATCCATCGGCCCTGGGACATCTAGCTTGTGGATTGAGAATATTGTTTGTGGGCCAGGCCATGGAATAAGGTAGGTTCAATTATTATTATTATTATATTCAAAACTTGTATGCGAAAAAATAAAAATGTAAAACTCATAAGTAAATACGTTTGGTCGATTTTGTAGCATCGGAAGTCTAGCAAAGGACTTAGAAGAGGCTGGAGTGCAAAACGTGACCATTAAAAAAGCTTTATTTTCACGCACCCAAAATGGGGTGAGAATCAAGGCATGGGGTAGGCCAAGCAATGGGTTTGTTAAGAATATTCTCTTCCAACATATTGTCATGGACAACGTACAAAATCCAATTGTTATTGACCAAAATTATTGCCCAAGTCACAAAGATTGTCCGGGTCAGGTAATATACATGATTTGTAAGCCATTCAAATGGACTTTCAATTTACGGCTCTGGATCATATTTCAATTGTTAACCCTTCCTTAAATTTCTTCTTGTTTGCATCAAACAGGCTTCAGGAGTCAAAATCAGTGGCGTGACGTACCAAGACATTCACGGAACATCAGCCACTCAAATTGCAGTGAAATTCGATTGTAGTCCAACAAATCCATGCAGTGGAATAAAAATGGAGGACGTACAACTTTCTTATAAGGATCAAATAGCTGGAGCGACATGTAGCCACGTAGGAGGAACTGCTACTGGTCGTGTTGAACTGAGTAGTTGCTTGTAGGGAAACTTGTATGATGAAACTTGATGTATTTGCATCTCTAGCATGTGGCCTTGTGTGTACGTAGTTACGAGGCTACCATGACATAATATTTGTTTTATGAGCAAGGAAAGCCGTTATTTCTATTCTTTTGTATGGTAATATGTGGATGTATATGTGAAACAAAACAATAAATTGATTTTTTTTTATTAGATTTGAAACTTGATTATCGTTTCTATGTTCCTCTGCGACATGATTATGTTACTTACTATTCGTTTTTAAGAGTGAAAATTATTCACATATATCAACACACGCCATTCCAATATGTTTTGTTCTCATTCACATACACATCGAGCTATTATGGTTATTAACTTTTAGTTCTTTTAAATTTTTCTTAGACATCCTATCCTCATTCAGACGTGGTCTCTGTACATTTATGTCTCATTCCTTTACTCAGTGTCACATATCGATGAGATCCTATTTCCTTAACTTTTCTTAATTTTCATAATAATTTTAAAAGTAGGGTGGGATTGAGTTGGGTTGTAACTCAATTTTCAAGTAGTTCGAGTTGGGTTATAACCATATTCAAACTCAAATATAAAACATTCACAAGTTACAATTTATCACTAACATCAATAATAAAGGCAAATATTCTTAATTTTTATAATAATTTTAAAAGTATGGTAGGATTGAGTTGGATTGTAACCCCATTTTTAGGTAGTTCGAGTCGGGTTATAACCCTATTCTCATAAAACTCAAATATAAAACATCCACAAAGCGGGTGTCTCACGTGTCGGCTATGCGCCGACCATGTGTGAGGAAGTACACCAGTCGTGACTACCACGCACGGTTGCTTTTGCGCAATCGCGGGTCGAGCGGTCCGGTTTGGCTCAGCTCAGCTCGAGATTGCGGTTCGGCTCAGGGTTTGCAAACGACGCGTGTCGTCGTATCACTAGAGCTACGTTGCTCCAGCCGACGATCGACGCGTGTCCAACGCTTGCTCAGCCGCCCTCCGCCGCTCGCCGGCCAAAACGTGACTGGCGAATTTTTCTTCTTCTTCTCCTTCTTCTCTCTATCCTCAATCTGTAACAAAGAGCCATTTTTTTTTTTTAATTTCATATCTTTTGATTCGAAGTTCGGATCGATATGGTTTCTTTGGCAAGGTTCTAGATCGTGTTACGAGCTACGTCGTGGTATTTTTTTTTCGTAATTTTTGCTTAACTACCAGACGAGTTAAGAGCGTTTGAAATTTGTTTACCGATCTCAAACGATTCTCGGATCTCCGCCTTTGGATCAAGATTTCGGCCAAACTTCTTCACAAATCATGTTTAGAGTTGTTCCTAGGTGAATATATCAACATTTTAGGACTCGATTCACATAGGAAAAGTTCAGATCTGAAAAAATGTCGTTCATTTACTTACCTCGCGAAACGTTCTTGGATCTTAACGGAGCGTCGGCCTCGCTAGCTATCAGTCCTTGTACAGGTCTCGTCTGAAGGTAGATTTGGACGGTGGTCCAACGAAACTTCGCAGCAAATCTTTTTTGTTTCCTCTCAATTTTCTCTCTAACTTCTTTGTTTTTTCTTTTGCACGAGGTTTGATGGGTTTTCCTTGAACCCTATTGGGAGGGGCAAAATGACATTTTTGCCCCTCGGTAGACTTAGCCTCTTTTTTTTTTTTTTTTTTTTTTTTTTTTTTTTTTTTTTTTTTTTTTTTTTTTTTTTTTTTTTTTTTTTTTTG